GAAAACAAAAAAATACAAGTCTTATGCACCATTCCAGTGATAACTTCTCCATGTCTCAAGCTTCATTAAACTCCTCTGTGTCGTCTTTGTCGAATCTGTCACTTATTTCCATCTCCTATATATATTCTCTTCTTGTTCAATCTTCTCTTTCACCCAGATCTGAAAAAATAAGTTATCAAAATCTGTTTATCCAATCATATAAAAAAAACTTAAATGAATACACCCCACAATTGTCAACTTGGATTTTTTGGAATGTATTTACATTTTCTCCTCAGAATACACATTTTTTATAGCTAGGTTTTCGGAGATTGGCAGGAAGTAACTCAGCCACAACTGCATATATAAACCCGCTTGTAAAAGAAAATTAACTCAGCCACAACACACATAAAACTCAGCTACACATTTGAAAAACTCAGCAGAGAAAATGATTTTGGACGATTGCAGCAAAGAAGATTTCGTATAAACGCTTGGGAGAAGACGTTTTCGGCGAAGACATTACTGGAGAAGACTGTTCGAGAATTTCAGACAATAAACAACAATATCGACTCAAAATTAGAGTTTAAGCTATGAATGAAGAAATTTGTGATTTTTTTTCAACACAGGAAATCTAGTTAGAAAGACGCATCATTATCTTCCTTCTTTTTTATCAGAATAATTATAGTTATTAATGACGTGGATATAGTAATTAATGAATATGGATTTGTTTTTTAAAAATAATCTCAATTAAAAAAAACTAAGAATGACTTTAATTATAATTTATTATGGATTTACAAACACTTTAGTAATTTTTAAAGATATATGTTAGTCTAATAATATACCAATTTTTCTACAATATTCTAATAATTTTTTCTTATTTTTTCTCATAACTTTTTTTTGTTAGAGAATCAAAAGGTTAATTAACATTTAAATTTTTAACATTTTGACAGCAAAATTACAAAAAAAATCCAAATATGATTGTATAAATAGTTACACAAATGTATCGTAATTAATTATAAAGTATTCATAATCATTTTGTAACTAAATACTCAATAATGAAAATTTTAGAAAAAATATTTTGAGAAGATGAAAGTTTTTATATATTTTGGTTGGAAGTATTTCTTATTAAATTTTTTTATTTACTAGTGTTATAGTTATTACAAACATATTATAAATATTTTAAAATCTAATATTTTATAAAATTGTTGATTTTTGTTTTTCCCAAATTAATATCAATATAAAAAGTCATTTAAGCCTATTTTTAGTCAGCTATATCTGTTGGCTAACGATAGGATTAAAAGATAGAGTCAACAAAAGTTTTTTATTAAAAGGGTTTATCAACAAAAGTTGAGTATTCTTTTTGGGTTACAAAAAATTGTCATTTTAAATCACCAATTTTCAAATTTAGTTGAAATAAAGTATTACCTTTTTCGTGAACCAAAAAACATTCAATTTTTGCTGAAAAGTCATTTTAATCATGACATTTCGTTTATCATACCATTTTAGTCCAATTGTTAGTAAAGAGTTACAGTTGACTAACATTATGATTAAAATGACTTTTAAGATTGACTTTTTGGCACAAATATATATCAATTTTTTTTCAATACATTAGATGTTAAATTAGAATAAATGATTTAATAACTATATTTATCAAAATATTTACAATTATTTGGGATAGTTATGCACTTTTGTAACTATTCATATACTTCTAATTTAGTTATGTTTCATAATTTTTGTCAATTTTTTATCTTATCTATAAATTATAAGTATTTGTTTTTATAATCAGAAGAATAAAATAAATGGTAGATGGATTCTTCATGATTCAGCAAATTTATAAATATTTTAGATCTTAATAGTTTTCGGTGAAACTTATTTTTCATTAAATGCAGAAATATTTTGAACACTTTTATAGAAATTATAGAAATTTTTTTAAAGATATTTATTATAAATATAAAGAATCATGAAGAATCCATCAACCGATAACTTTTTTTTGTTTAAGAATCAAAAGTCTAATTAACGTTTAACTAACAAATTTTTGACAGAAAAATTAGAAAACAAAATCCAAATATGATTATATAAATAGTACAAAATTGATCATAAATAACTATAAATTTATTCATAATCATTTTGTATCTAAATACGAAATAATGAAAATTATAGAAAAACTTTTTTGAGAAAATGAAACTTTTATATTTTTTTGTGGAATTATTCCCTTTTTTTTTAATAATTTTCTTTGTTAGTGTTATATTTATTACAAACATATTTCAATATTTAAAAATCTATTTTTTAGAAAAGTGTTGATTTCTATTTCTGCCTAAAAAAATATCTATTTTAAAAGCTATTTTAGGCCTACTGTTAGTCCACTCTAATTGTTATCTAACGTTAGGATTCTAAAGATATGTTCGACAAATTAATTTATTCTTAAAGTGTCTTATCAACAAAAGTCGAGTATTTCAACAAAAAAGTTATTTAAATCATCAGTTTGTCCAAAAAAAAATCATCAGTTTTCAAAATTGGTTAAAATAAAGCATCAATATTTTCGTGAACCCAAAAAAATACTCAATTTTTATTGACAAGTCATTTTAGTCATGAAATTTTGTTGATCATACCGATTTAGTCCAATCATTAGTCAATACTTATAATTGACTAATAGTTTTTCTAAAAGGTCTTTTAAGATTGGTGATATTTTTGGCACAAATATAAATTGAAAGTTTTTCAATAAACTAGATTGTAATTTTTAGACTAAATGATTTAATAACTATAATTATCAAAAATATTTATAATTGTGTACGATAATTATGTCATTTTCGTAACTATTCATATAGTTCTATTTAGATTATGTTTCATTATTTTTGTCAATTGTTTATCTTGTTTATAAAATATTAATATATTTTTATAATCATAAGAAAAACTTAAAGGGTAAATTGATTCCTCATGATTCCGTTGATTTAGGAACATTTTAGACCTTAATAGTTTTTGGTGAAATTTAATAATTTTATTTTGCAGAAATTAATAATGAATATAAAGAACCATGAAGAATCCATCAAACTGATAATTTTTTTTTGTTTGAGAACCAAAAGGTTAATTAATATTTTACTAAAAAGTTTTTGACAGCAAAATTATAAAATAAAGTCCAGATAGGATTATATAAATAGTAGAAAATTGATCGTAAATAATTATAAAAGTTATTCATAACATTTTGTAACTAAATACTCAATAATAAAATTATAGAAAAAATATTTTGAGAAAGTAAAAACTTTTTTTTATTTTTGGTTGTAAATATTTCTTATTTATAAGTTTATTTATTAGTGTTATAGTCATTGTAAAGATATTTTAAATATTTAAAAATCTAATATTTTTGAAAAATTTTGATTTCTATTTTTGCAAAAAAAATCCATCAACTTTATAAGTTATTTTAGACCTACTGTTTACTAATAAAATGATTAACAAGATGATCAAAAAAATAATAATTAAAATTGCTTATCAACAACCGTTTATTTCATTTCATTTATTTTTTAATTATTTTATTTGACATCATCTCGCTATTTTCGGTTATAAAAGAAGGCGACACGGATGCAAAGATTTTCCTTCTTTCTTACCATTAACGAATTTAGGTCCCCTTCTTTTCTTCTCGGCCCGTGACTATTTATTTCTCTTCCTTTGTTTCCAGATTTTTTTCTCGGTTCTCATAGTTATTGCTTTGGTTGGAGTCTAATTCTGCAGATCTTTTTCTCTGATTTGGATTTTGCTTCTATTTCATTTTCTTTATTACTATTATTTTATTTGAGAGAGAGAGAGTAAAAACCGTTTAATTTAATTTTGTTTATTATTATTATTATGGTTTTGTTTCAGATGGAAAGAGAGAGAGAGAGAGTAAACAACCGTTTCATTTCATTTCATTTTTTTTCTTTTTTTTATTATTTTATTTGACTTCATCTCTTTCTTTTCGGATATACAAGCAGACAAGACCGATGAAAGTTGGTGAAAAGCTTAGCCTTCTTTCTTGCTTCTATCTCTTTTATCTTACAATCCATACCAATGTTGACGAATTTAGGTCCCCGTCTTCTTCTCGGTCCGTGATTATTTCTCTCTTCTTCGTTAATTTTCCAGATTATTTTTGATTCTAATAGTTATTCCCTTGGATAGAGTCGAACTCTACAAATTTCTTGCTCTAATTTGGATTTTGCTCTTAGTGATCCACACGGTTCACGAAATTTGATTTGTAATTTATACCGAGATAATAACCGTAGATAGTTTGATAGTTACATGAAGATATATAATGATGAAACGATTAGCTAAATCCTAAAGTTGTTTAGCTTTTAATCTCATATCAGTGTTTATGATATGATCTCATTTTGTATCTCACCTCTATTTGAAAATCAAAGAATAAATGGAGGTACATGTTTAGTTTTGTCTGTTTGGAATAGTACTCCATTTCGCTAACTTTAACGTTATGAGTTTGCAGAATAGGTACATAACATGAGAAATTTGGTTTTGAAGTCAATACTCTGCGCCCTATGAAGTATGATCAAATAGCCGTGATTCTTAACAATATCGCTGAAATATTTGAATGGGAGAAACTCATGGAAGGATGTAGACGTTTTAGTTAATGTTAGAACTGACTCCAAATAACAACAATGATGCGGAAAACAAGGATGAATAGTAGACAGTGACTCAACAAGTTCAAAAGAGTTAGAAGTGACTTCAAATAACAACAATGATGCGGAAAACAAGGATGAATAGTAGACAGTGACTCAACAAGTTCAAAAGAGTTAGAAGTGACTTCAAATAACAACAATGATGCTGAAAACGAGGATGATCAGCGGAAAGTGACTCAACAAGTTCAGAATAGTTAGAAGTGACTCTAAATAACAAAAATGATGCAGAAAACGTGGATGATCAGAAGTTTTTTTGCATCATTGTTGTTATTTGGAGTCACTTCGAACTCTTCTGACCTTGTTGAGTCAATGTTCGCTGAATCATATCATCTTGATCAGTAGAGAGTTCAGATACCGAAGGTCTCAATGAAAGGACCTCGTAAGGGGACTTCTCTCGCAAATTTTTTTTCTTCATTGTCTGGTTTTCCATATGCCCAAGCTCTCATGAGAAGAGCTTTGAAGATGAATTTTCTCTCACCTCTGTTTGCTTTATGATCTGTTGAACTATCTTCAGATGGTTTCATTTGGTTTTGCTCATTACTGGCCCTACATAGTAGTGTGATATAGGACACAGTGATAGTAGATAGTAGATAGTAGATATTAGAATTTATGTTTCCCCTTTTTGGTTTTGGAATAGATAATTCTATCCCTTTTGTTGACCAGGGGAAACAAAGCATTTCACTTGAACCTGGGGGTCAATTTGAGCTTAGTGGTGCACCTCTTGAGACTTTGCATCAAACATGTGCTGAAGTCAATTCACACCTTTATCAGGTAATTTTGAGAGCTTATAATTGCTAGTACTCTTACCTTAAGATGTGACAAACAATGAACTCTCTATTGATATCAACAGGTAAAAGCTGTCGCTGAGGAAATGGGAATTGGTTTCTTAGGAATTGGTTTCCAGCCCAAATTGGTTTCCAACCCATCATGCCAAAGGTATGAGGCATTACTGGAAAATGTTTCCAACTTCTTTTAGCTAATTGAGATATCTTGTTTGATATGGCCAACTTTATGTGTATCTTATTGTTGTTTCCATAAGGTTTTACTATTATCAGTTTTTTGTGATAGTGGATCTGGCAGTAAGATCTTAATATATTGTGTTCTGTGCAAGGAAGATGTGACATATTGAGAAACTGCATGCCCAAAGTTTGTTTCCTTGGACTTGATATGATGCTTCAAACGTGTATTTTTCAGGTTAGATGATTGTTCTGTCTTTTATTTAGAAGTTTTTTTGAACTAAAGTTATGTTGAAACTTATACAAACCGCCTTACATGCATTTTTGATAGGTTAATCTGGATTTTAGCTCAGAAGATGTTATGATCAGGAAGTTTCGTGCTGGTATTGCTTTGCAACCCTTGAGAAACTCTAGCAATTTTATGGCATAACCAGGAACTTTTTATAACATATAGCAATGGCTTTATTTGCAAATTCCCCTTTTACTGAAGGAAGGCCAAACGGGTTTCTCAGCATGAGAAGGTTTCTAGATCTAATTGTCATTATCCAGTATATTGTTTCTCTTCCACATTATAACTCTTGTATTGAATTTTTGATTTTGCATAACTATACATTTGTAACATAATCATTTTACACATTAATTTTGTACTTTATTCCTAAACAGTTATTTTGTTTGAAAAAAAAAACAGAAGTATAATTACAATTTTGTTTAGTAATCAAATAGTAATTAAATAGATAAAATTATATGTTTTTCATTAAATTTTCAAGATTTGATTTCATATATAATAATAATAATGTTTACACATAATATTACACATAATAAATTTTCATCCATTTAAAAATGAGTTTTGTAAATTTTGGCCCAATGTAAATAATAACCATGTTACCATTGTAATCAGAAAACAAAAGAAACCAGTTATATAAGTTATTTACAAAATAACCTAGTGGATCCCGATCATTATGGAATTAAAGTGGTGGTTACAAATTTATTGGACTAAACATATAGCAATAGATCATAATCCCGATTTGACAAAATATATGGTATAATTGGATTTTAATATTTTACATAACTTAAATTAGTACATGTATTCGAATTGAACCCGTAATAGTCCAAACAAAGAAACAAACTAAAATTTTTAAATATCCAGATATATTTGGATTTTAATATTTTTACATAATTTAAATGAATACCTGTATTCAAATTTAACATGTAATTATCTGAACTGAATCCAAACTAAAATTAATAAATATTCAGATAGGGTTTTAATCTTTCATCTAACCAATATCTGAATAGTCGGAGTCGAACCCGAACCTGAACTCTTACCCATACATGTAGTCTATAATTTGAATAGAGTAATATAGGCTATACATTTTGCTTTAAACATACTTGATTAATTATTCATAGCATGATTAATTGAACACTGTTAATTCTTTTAAACCTATATTATTTAATCAAGCATACACTTAACATCAAACAGTCATATAACATGCTTATAATAAACAATATCTGAATAGTCGGAGTTGAATCCGAACTCGAACTCTTATCCATACATGTAGTCTATAATTTGAATAGAGTAATATAGGCTATACTTCCCGCTTTAAACATACTTGATTAATTATTCATAGCAAAAGTGTTAATTCTTTTAAACCTATACTATTTCAGCATGCATACACTTAACATCAAACAATCATATAACAGGTTGATAATAGACAATGAGTTACATGAACAATACAAAAACGTTTGGTGGCATAGTGGAACACCGCATGCACATGTTTCTCATAGCCCAGGTTCGATGTACTCACAGAGTGTTTTCATCTTCTTCTTTTTTTCATTAATGGCATAAACGTAATGTTTTATCTTCTTCACCATTGGAATGAGGTTATGCAGAAGAGTTTTACAGCCACAATTTTTTTACTTTTAAACTTTGCAGATTTGACATATAATACCGGATTTTTACCTATAGAGACCCAAAAAAATTGATGATTTCGATTTGTAGCCGATTATGAGAAAGATAGCGGTTGTAAGTCACCATGAATCTCATAAACTAATAACACATTTCCATTTGCAGGTTCGACTGAGATTTCAAGAGTACTGCATTTCTGCGACTGGTTTAAATTCAGGGAGTTTGAGTGTTGATCAAAAATTAAAATTAAAATAATAATTGTACTAATTAATATATTAATAATATTAATATAGTTTAGATGTGGTTATATTTTACGTTATGCAGTTATAATTTAGATGTAGTTATATTTTAAATTGGACTGGACCTTTATCAACTGGTCATGTTGATGTTTTAATAGAATAGATATTATTTTTTACATATTATTATATTTTATATTCATTTATGTATTATGTAATTGTAAATATATTGAATAATTAAGAAGCTAGTAACTATTTTGTATATAATTAAATTGTAGTAAACACATAAATCAACATAATCTCTCTTATTTATTTCTAATTATTTTTATTGGTCAATAACTAAAAAGAATCATTTTATTTATTTTATATAGTATATAATTTAATTTAAATTATATTGACAGAGATTTATAATATATTTTCATATGATTTTTTATTAATTGAAGCTTCTTACTCATATGATTTTATTAACATTCATATATTCATATGAACCATCAATTAAATTAGGGAATCCATAGGCAGAGCCGAGTTGAAACATAGCCCTCAATTCCAGAAAAAATACTCCAAAAGTGAAGTTATATGTTTGTATGTTCTCTTAAAGATTTACTTGAAATATAATAAATTAGTTTTGGATCCATGCCTTGCACAGAATAAACATTATATAGTGTATTTTTTGTTTACATATGATTTTTTTTATAATTACTTATGTATTATGAAATAAGAAATATATTGAATAATTGAGAAGCTATTAACTATTATGTATATAATTAAATTGAAGTAAACACATAAATCAAAATAAAACCTCTTGTTTATTTACAATAATTTTTATTGGTTAATAAATCTAAAAGATCATTTTATTTATTTTATATGGTACATAATTTAACTTAAATGATATTGACATATATATAAAGTATATTTTAATATCAATTTTATTAACTCAAGTTTCATACTCATATGATTTTATTAACATTCGTATATTTACTGTAAAAATAATTAAACCATTAATCACAAATTTGCAATGTGAGATTTTTAATATTTTTAATTATTTATATTCATAAACAAAATCAGCGCTAATTTGAAAGTTCAAATATTCAGGTCTCCATAGCTTTTCAAAGTAAATTTCAAAATTATCATATTTATGTATTTTTTATAAAATATATAGTTTAATTTAAATGATATTTAAATACACACAAATACCCATATATATATAATTTGAATATATATTAAATGATACTTTTTATTCATATGATTTACAATCTTTTGTATCTTATTATAACAAAAAGTAAAATTATTGATCAAAATTTTCACTATGGGACTTTTAACAGTTTTAATAATATATGGTCATTTTAAAAAATTCAAAATATATTATATAAGAAAAAAAATCTAATTTTATTTTTGTTAATGTGATTTTTTAATTTCTCCTAAGAATATACAATTAAGTAAAAATGATGGAGGAAATAAAAATTGTTATCCATCTTTAATATTCAAAATTATTAATTATTATATATATATAGATTAATTTTATTAGGAAATTTGGTAATGTATTTTTTTCAAAGAAGGTATATTATATTTTTTACGCTACTAATTAATTTTATAATTAGTAAAAAGTTGAATATATATTTAGATGGGGAAATATTTTTCTCTAATGATTATAAAAATTATCCTAGTAATAACACGTGACTACACTTACATTTAGTAAGGCTTCTCAATTAATATATAAAGATATGTGAATGCTGCATTTTTAGCCTTGATAGGATATTTCATATGTATTTTTTTTTTTTTTGACAAGTTGTCTTCACTGACCAAAATAACAAAGCAAAAAAAGAAGAAGATAAGAGTCATGATCTGCATCACACCTTGAAAAGAAAGCCCTAGGAAAAACTTCTCTATAGAATTAGATATACAAGGAAGATCAAATACCATTAACCATATTTCCGTTCAGGGTAAATTCTATGATCATCAATAAAAAAATGTGTCCATCCCTTTTTGGAGGTAGGTAAATCATTCATCTTCAACATTGGTTCTTTGATAACAGCGGCCATGTCATCAAGAGTGTGACCATTCTGATCCAGAAAAACAAATTAGTTACCAAAACATGTAAAATCACAGAAGATATTATTTTACATATACAATTTAATGAGCTAATAACATTAAGATAGTATTTTAATGTTATTGCCACATTGGTGAAGTAGTAAGATTCTAATTTTACGAAAAATATTCATTGAGCATCCACCATCAAGCATATCACGAAATCTGTGAATAATGTACACTACTTCCCTAACGCTTCTTCTTTTCAACTAGGGTAGAATTCGCCAGTGGAGGGCTGCTCCGGAGTATAGGTTAGTGAAGCATTGTCTATGAATCCCACAATTTTAAGAAAATATTGAACATTTTACAAAAAAAAAAAGAAGTTATTTAAAACACTACATATTTATGAACCGTAAATTTATTAAAATATATTTATACAAACTCTTGCTCAAAACAAACTTTTGTTAAATTATATATAGCTTTCAAAAGGTCAAGACTGGCCATCCGCCAATGAGAAGTCATTCAGATAGCATTCCCGAGTTGTACAAACAAACACAAACAAGAACTACTTTAAAATGATAATTTGGAGCAAACTGAGAACATTAAGTAGAGTAACCTTACTTGAACTGTGAAGTATAATAATGAAATATAAGTGTCGTATTTCANAAATTATATATAGCTTTCAAAAGGTCAAGACTGGCCATCCGCCAATGAGAAGTCATTCAGATAGCATTCCCGAGTTGTACAAACAAACACAAACAAGAACTACTTTAAAATGATAATTTGGAGCAAACTGAGAACATTAAGTAGAGTAACCTTACTTGAACTGTGAAGTATAATAATGAAATATAAGTGTCGTATTTCATATCAAACCTTTTTCATCGTTAAGTCACACATTAATGTCTAATTCAACGTCCCCGATCAACAACATTTCATATTACAGGGTGAATATTATCTATTATACCTTTTCACTGTTAACCTCTGCACTTCAGTTTTCACATATTCGTCTTTTCCTTATACATAAATGTCCTGTCTGGCTGTTCAAAATGAAGTTTGATTATAATAAGGCAAACAGTGAAACTTTCAAAGTATAAAATTTAACGACTCAAATACTTCAATAGATTTTATAGAGATGGAAGGTTCAAGAGATTTTTCACACTTTAGGGTTTTGTGAGAGTTGGTGAGTTAGGAGAATTGAAAACTCTCTAAAAGATGAGAAATTTTAGACAGTTTTTAAGTTGTGTAAACAAAAACATTGGTGTTGATTGGAAGATTTGGATAGGGGTTGGGGGTTTTTCAGTCACATGTTTGGTTAGTGTTGATTTGGATAGGGGTTTTGAAGACCAGAAAGGATGGA